CTCCAACATGACTAGAGAGAATCATTGATCAACACTTCACGGTTTCAACAAGACTAGATATTGAATCTTGAACAACTGACGGAGGGCATGATTGCGTCTTCACAATAAATCTATAAAACACACTTATAAGAATAGATTTTAGCAGTTGGAAAAGCCATGCGTTATTTGACATACTCGTGGGTACGAACATGCTTTATGCGACAGCATATAAACAATACTAGGTCCCAAAACATCGTCAGGGATGCATCTGACAGAGCAGGCCCTCAAATATTATAGAAACGTGCCCTGCTTAAATGGCTGTCTTATCAACTAGGGACAACTCGCTTCGGTAGCTGAAGCGATGGCTTTCGGTCAGTCGGTGTCCACTGAGTCTGAAATCCGCCGCCATTTACTTTAAAGCTTCGTCAACATTTTGATTTTCATTAGGCTGAGTCGCAGGTCTACTCTTCCGGCAGTGGCTTGAGTCAATTCAATTGGCAACCGCAGTCCATGTCCGGTGTAGCCTACCCAGTTGATATCGTCTGGGAAGTCGAGGTTTATGGGATACAGGGAGGGGTACCTGGAACTGCTCCTTCCACTGGCTTAGCGACAATCTATTTTATGTATGATAGTCAATGCTTTACCGCATCACGAAATCAGGGGAAAGTATGTCGCATTCACGGTAATCAGGAAAAATCCACTTAAGTTTGTTAAGTGCACCCTATTGTCATCAATCACATGAAGCCTAAGTACCTGAGAACAGATCACGTGATTAGCGATTAGCGGAGGGTTCACGTGATCTGTGACATTGGCCATTTCATGGCGCGGGATGAGGCTCAAAACTGGCTGAAGTTCATGACAGACAGGAATTAACAAAATATGATTTTATTTTTTAGTACTGTATTTAATGAATCAGAATTGCCTATATAACTACGTAACCTACGCCTATATAACTACGTAACCTATATCACCTACGTAACACGGCTGAATTAGGGACGAAATCACAAGCGTGAAAATTTACACAACTTGCCGGAGATCACTAAATTTTAATAATCCACTGGTGAATAAATTTATATTTGTTCCATGGAACAAAAAATTCAGGTAATAATGCATCATTCATAAAACCATTTCAAAGATTTTGAAATTATGACTATCCTCCATGCGTTTTCAGTTCTTAGTTGCACATTACTCGCAGAATAAAAAATAAAGCAGTCAAAATTCGAATGAACATATTAAGCCAAATAAATAGCTAACAAGTGTCATCATCCTTCACGTTGTCAGTATGTCAGACTTTGCTAGAATAGCAAAAAGTTGCAGTTGCCACTTCATCGGCTCTAGCAGGACTTTGTCATTTTTTATGACATCTGCGAAACAGCAGTGGGCCCTAAAACGGATGAAGGGACTTTCATTGACTCTGTATATATCACTATAAAAATTTCACTTAGAGTGAAACCGAAATAACGCGCTTGCTACTGATACTGACTTAAAAAATTAAAAAGTGCATATGACTCGAGGCCTTGACAGATCGACAAAAACAGAACTTCATGAATTAAGTGCTACAAACAGCGTTAATCATGAAGGTACGGGGCAATGACGACAGCCGAAATGCAATAAATTCTTCTCTTCCTGTACGTGGTCCAGTCAGAAGAAAATTTCTGGTTGTCAAACACGTTTATAGTAAACATTATGTAATACTGGAGGGACTAAATATGCCACTGATCGAAACGTAAACTTGATTCTTCACCGATGCTATTATTACTAACAACGTTACAAATATGACAGCAAACATTTTAACTTAACGCTTTTAACTGTGGATATGCAAGTAAAACATGTTGCACAGCAGCAAACAAATCGATTTTACCGGATTACACCGCATGATCGCGCAAATATTTTCCTCGTATGCTTAGCAAAAATAAAAAACACCATAACAACTGACGAATAATTTAAAAGAATATTAGTGCAACTTTTATATGGTTACTTAGTTTTCACCAATACTGCACCAAATAGGTTTACACATTACGCTGATTTTCGGTAAGGTATCAGCTGTGGGAAGCATAAAGCAATAAATATAGCCGTAAAGAGCACGGATCAGCGGACATGTCTTGCACGCTTTGGCATGACTAAACACCAAAGCGTCGTGATGGTCTCATTATTCGCAGGTGAGCGTCTAGCTACACTTTTTAAAGTTGGTCTCACAAAAGCAGAGTGGAATAAATTCTTACATTAAGGGAATTAGAAACCATTATGAAAAAATGTCGTACGTAGCGTTAGAACCCACCTACTGGCATACAAAGCAACCTACGGACCAACTGAATCACTGCGCCCGTTCCCAATATAAAATTACTACCTAACTGTTAGTTTGTGGTGCCCAATTAGCTGTGCGGTGTGACATCACAACTGAGGAGATGGAACTGAGGTGATAAAAAAACGTCAAGCGATTTGTAACTAAGGTATAGAAATTAATGAATGTCAGATGTCATCGATTCATCTATTCAAAATTTAACTTCACAACTTAAATTCCGGATATGAAACTCACCTTGCCTAGCAGATTTCTTTTGTTCATGGCGGTGAGAGCCTGAACGGCAACATTGTGGTCGGCGAACTCGATAAACGCATACGGATCATTAGCAGTCTAGAAATTCGTGGCATCAA